TTGAACTTAAAAAAAAAAAAAAGAAAACAGGAGCCCTGATCTCTGCTGCCTGAGAGCTGAGTCATCCTGCTCCCCCCTTTCAGCTCCCTCAGCTCAAGCATGACCAGCAAAAGATGGGCAGAGACCAGCTTTCCTCCCTTCCCCACTTAGGTCAGGAGCCCCCGCACTCAGCAGTGACAGAGGAAGAGTCAGGACCAGACATGATGACTTTCTAGGCTCCATCTCCTCACCCCATAGTCCTTCTCTCAGCTTCTGGTACTGCAATTGCCAGAAAGCGCCCATCTGAAGGTAGCCCTTGCCTGCACAAGATCTCTTAAAAGAGAGCAAAAGCTTTAGGCAGTCCAGAGATCTGCTTCGACCTCCCTGCAGCTCTGGTGGCTAAAGATAGGAGACCCAGTCCAAAACCATAGCGGAGCCTGAGCAGAACCTCCTGTGCAGAGCTCACAGGGGAACCTTCAGTTGCATCCCGTGCATTTGCAGTGGTGCTCAATGAACCTAACCAGCTATGCTCTCATCTCCTATTCCTGATTCTCACAAGGAAGCACTCAGCCTGTGCCTCAGTTTCCCCTGTGGCCCCTCCCCCTGACTTTTGCCCCACTGCTGACTCTGGACTCTCTGACACTCTCCAGTGGCCTCCTCTCAGTCCTCAGTGTCACTAACCTCTCTGACACCCAAGACCCAGTTTCTTATGTATTTATTTTTATGATCTAACTTTTATGATAGGTAATAAATGCACATGGTTAAAGAAACTCTAACAGTCAGTAAAGTAAAAAGTTAAAAGGAAGTCTCCCAGGCTCCCAGAACCTCACCAGAGACACCTGCTATTAGAAGTTTCTTTTTGGGCACCTGGGTGGCTCAGCCAGTTAAGCATCCGACTTCAGCTCAGATCATGATTTTGCAGTTCTTAGGTTTGAGCCTTGCATCTAGCTCCGTGCTGACAGCTCAGAGCCTGGAGCCTGCTGTGGATTCTATGTCTCCCTCTCTCTCTGCCCCTTCCTCCCCCCCAAAATAAATAAACATTAAAAAAATTTTAAAACAATAAGTTTCTTTTGAGGGGCATGTGGGTGTTGGTAAACATCCAACTCTTGATTTCGGCTCAGATCATGATCCCAGGGTTGTGGGATCAAGCCCTATGTCAGGCTCTACACTAAGTGTGAAACCTGCTAAAGATTCTCATTCTCTCTCTCTCTCTCTCTCTCTCTCTCTCTGCCCCTCTCCCCTGCTTGCACTCTATCTCTCCAAAATAATAATAATTTAAAAAGAGAAGTTTCTTTTGATACCTTCCAGAAACAGCTACAGATATACAAACATACATTTGGATAGTGTATATTCTTTTTTTTTTTAACACAAATAGATGTATTCTATACACATCTTTTCATCTTGCTTTTTTCCACCCAACAATATGTTTGAGATTTCTCCTTTGCAGCCATGCAGCTCCTGCATCCTCCTTTTTTAACAGCTTCTTGGTGTTCCATATACCAGATATGTCATAATTCATTAACCAACTCCATAGCAATGGATATTTAGGTTGTCTCCAGTCACTTTTAATATTTCAGACAATGATGTGGTGAACATCCTTGTACCCTGTCACTGCACACATGGGCAGAGACCCCTGTCAGATAAATTCCTAAGTCCTGCCTCTGAAACCCCCACCAGCCTTGCTTTCTCAAGCCCTGCCCCTGCCAGCTCCACACACACTCCTGCCTCCAGCTTCTGCTTCTTAGTGACCCGCAGCCATGTTACCATTTCTGTAGCAGTCCTCTCTCCCTGGCTCTGTCCTCAAATAGCTTGAGCCCAAGTTCAAAGACCTATAGCTTCAGCTGTTGCAGAACAATATGGTTTTAATGTCTCCTCATCATATCAAACTAAAATTATCCAAAATCAAATATGAAATTTCCACCATCTCCTTGAGTTTGGTCAATGGGATAATATCTTCCCAAGCATGGCAATGGGAAACCTTGGAGTTATTCTTTTTTAATGTTTATTTATTTACTTTGAGACAGAGAGAAAGAGAATGCATCCACATGCACAAGCAAGGGAGGGGCAGAGAAAGAGAGAATCCCAAGCAGGCTCTGCACTATCAGAGCAGAGCCTGACACAGGGTTCGAACTCATGAACCATGAGATCATGACCTGAGCCGAAATCAAGAGTCAGATGCTTAACCAGGTGAGCCACCCAGGTGCCCCTGGAGTTAATTTTGAAAAAATTTGTTTATTTCTTCCCCTCCAATCCAATCTGTCACTGTGTCCTACCTTCAAGCTGCTCAATTTTATTCTCTGTAGCAGATAAGGCTGACTCTCTCCCCAACATCCATCCCCAACACCCTTTCTGCTTCCTAAAAGAGCCATGAATTTGGCTTTTTATTGATTCTTCCAGCTGAGTTCTTCCACGGAAGCTGACTCTGGATTCTGGTATGCACTATTAGCCCAGAGCTAAACATGTGACTTAACTGGATAGAACGGAAGGACAAAGATGGTTCAGGAAAGGTTTTAGCTCTTCTACTGAGGGCTCCAGCTGCTACCAGTAGGCATTTTAGGACCAGAAGA